CCCACTGATTAAGCAGGAATTTTTAGAGGGGGCTGGTGACATTTGAGAGATACGTGTTGGCTGTGACATGAGAATGTCAAAATTGTTCTCAATATGCCTTTGCCTTGCTTTCTGCTTCTAAAATGAACTCAGGTTAGTTTCCATTTTTACTCTGAGTCCGAGGAAGTTAGGGCAACAGCATTTATTGACAAGAGCAAGTTGGGCTCTGTGTTGCTAACTGGAAAGTGTACATAAAACTTTCAACAGGAAGAAAGTAAGCCTGCCAAAAGGGGAAATAATAAAACCTTAGAACGCTTTCAGGGAATGACTGGTGAGGAAAGTAAGCTTTAACCGCTCTGACTTACCGCCTCTGGGGTTTGCTGGGAAACATTCAATATGTGCTTGTGACTTTTCTGTTCCCATTGCCAAAGGTCATGAAGGAAGATAAGAACATACAAACACATTAAAAAGGCCTTAATTCCAGTGTCTTGGCAAGCTGGGTAGATGCAAAAGCTTCCTGACCTGCTACAAGTAGGGAACACAGTTCTCTACTATATGGCTTCCTTCTTTTCCTCCTTTCCAGGTATATCTTGACCAGGGACAGGTGACTACTATATGTTAATTTCAATTTCTCCCAGTTTCTAATTTTCCAATCTTAAGGATGGTTCTTAATGTTTCCTCATCAGTTTGCGATTTTTAAAAAAGACCTCATGAAAATTCATCAGCAGTTTTGTTTTAATTTCTCCCAATAGACACATTTTTTTGTATGTAATTATGCCTATTATATGCCTTGTTTGCAAAGCATATTTTTTATAATGCAATATACACCCTAAGTATATGCACTTATGCACACACTATTTGTCTGAGGAACTGCATTGCACAATTCGGAAAAGTGCAAATTTTGGTGGATGCCTGTGCTTTGGTTCACGTCTTGTTCCGGAAAGTGCAGATTGGGTAGGTTCACACTTAGATGCGAACTGAATCAAATTCATTCCTCATCCCTCATCTTTACCAAGCCCTCTGCATTAGAATTCCTTCAGCGTCTTCTTCTTTGAGGGAGCCAAGCACAGAGTCAATGTTTGAATAAGGCCAGAATTTCTCACAGCCACTGTTGAACTAAGCAGATGACGCTTTTCACACATCAAGAATTTCCACCAGTACACTGGCATCTTCTGTTCGTAGTGCATTAAAGGAAGGGTGAGAGTTGGAGAAAGAGCAAGTGTGGGGGGAGAGGAAGAAGAAGAAGAAGAGAGATTGACTCAGCCTAACATCCATCCGCCTTTTTGGATAGAGTTTGCACAGTATATGTCTATGCATGAAGGGCATGGCAGAGCAATATTCCAGCAGACACTGTCCTGTTGACATTCACAGATCACTTCAGAGGAGTGAAAATAGCAAGAGAGCTACTGGGTGGAGGAGAGAGGTGAAGTGAGGTGATCATAGGCTGCCGCCTTGAATGGCCCTGTTGTTGCCTCAGTTGTGCGGTTTAATACAGTTCTTCCACAATTCGCAGAAAAACTTAGTTGATTTTTGTCAGCACTTAAATGACAGGTGGTGTTTGAGTTTGGCATCATCTGGGGAGCGCCATGCAGATCTTCCTGCTCAGCTAGACCCTCTCATGCAGGCTGTACTTTCCAGCTTGCTGTTGCCGCATGAGCACTTGGTGCTCGGAAGAGGAAGAGTGGTTGCAATGCGTTGGGCAGCCACCTAACTGAATCCACTCCTTTGCCCTATCTCTGCCTCTCCTCTTTCACCATGATTTTTAGCCAAGGGTACAGCAAGAAGGAAGGAAAGAGGCTTCAGCAATGGGAAGTAGGATTTGGGGACAGATCAGCATACCAATGAACTGCAGCTGCTTCCCTTCCAATTATCTAGAATGTCTCCTCATTCTAGCCTTGACATGGCCAAGGAGATGCATTTTTTAAAAGCTGGAGAAGGGCAAGCAGTAGCAACAACTCCTTGCCCCCTCTCGTGCATATGAAGACAAGTTTTGGGAAACAAGGAAAACTGTCTGTATAGATATCAGGTATTGTTAAGAAGAACTATGCATTAATTGCATGCGAAGTCATGCAGTTTATGGCATGAAAGATCATTTGGGAAGTCTCCCCCACCCCACCCCAAAGTCTTCTTTATATGATTAACAGGAGCAAGCGGTAAAGCTGTTTGAATAATGTCCCACAAAATTTAAAACAAAGCAAAATCCCTGCATGTAGAAAATTAGTGTGTCATCAGGGGTGAACTCTATGAACAGACAGGTGGAATAGACAGTTTCACATATATGGACCTCATGCATAAACTGATTAGAGAATGAACTGATCCACTGGGTCTTCTGCATTTTTTGCTGAACTTTATGAGCCACTTCTGTTGAAATCTACAATTCAATACAATGAATAGTATATATTATTTTTTCAAACGTACAGCCGGTTATGTCTTGTGTGTTTATTGAACACTTCTCTATGGCATGGCAATTTTATATTTAAATATTTATTTTATATTTTTATATTATACTTTCCTTATGGAAGTTATTTCCATAGGGGGAAACTACCAAGGATTGAGCCCCTGCAGTCTGAAGTCTTATAGGTCAGGACTTTCTCCCTTGGTTCTGTTGGTCCTGCAAAGGGGCCCTAAAAACTCAAAGTGCTATACATCTTGTAAACCTTTACAGTATCCCTGGTGGTTATTGAAAGTATGACTTCCTCCATGTTAACAGATGGGTTCTTTGGGGCACCAAATCATTTGTTGTGTGGCATCCAGAAATCATTCCTCAAAGTTGTTTGTGCCAGGGCACTGTGTTTTCCAAGCAATATTTTGCCCCTGGGAAGAATGTGTAAAAATAGTTTATTGCTTTAAAGCTCGGGGGGAGGGGGGGAATCGCTTCATTTACATTGAAGCCCTATTTGGACAAGCCTGCTCACATGTAAATCCTACACGCGAGTCGTGACAAGGGTGTGAAGCTTTAGGCCCTGCATCACTATGATAGCTTTGTTCTTCCTCCACGGTCGGAGGCAGCGCTCCTCTGGATACCAGTTGCTGGAAACTGCAAGTGGGGAGTGTGCTGTTGCACTCAAGTCTTCCTTGTGGGCTTTCCACAGGCATCTGGTTGGCCACTCTCAGAACAGGATGCTGGACTAGGTGGAGCATTGACCTGATCCTGCTGCAGAGCTGTTCTTAGGATCTTATCTCAATCACCTTCCAGGAGCAGATGGAGACAGCAACACAGGGGGAAGAGCTTAACATGTCCATTCCCTACTTGTGTGTAGGCTTTATATGTGAGCAGAATGCCCATATAGGGTTTGAATGCCCTTATTATGATTTATTTTATTTCTATATCGCCCTGTACCTGAAGGTCTCAGGGTGGTTCACATTAAAAATCACTTACATAAAATCAAAACAAAAACCAGATTACGCCCCCCCCCCCCAAAAGAGAGCCAGCATTTTAAAAAGGGTATAGGATGTTAGGTCAGGCAAAGGCCTGGTTGAAGAGGAATGTATTTGCCTGGCGCCTAAAGATGTATATTGAAGGCGCCAGACGAACTTCCCTGGGGAGAGCATTCCACAGACGGGGAGCCACTGCAGAGAAGGCCCGTTCTCGTGTTGCCACCCTCCTGACCTCTCGAGGAGGCAGCACACGAAGAAGGGCCTCAGAAGATGATCTCAGGGTCCGGGTAGGTTCATATGGGAAAAGGCGGTCCTTAAGGTATTGCGGTCCTGAGACGTTTAAGGCTTTACAGGTCAAAACCAGCACTTTGAATTGGGCCCAGAAATTAATTGGTAGCCAGTGCAGTTGGACCAGGGTCAGTGTAATATGCTCAAACTGTCTAGTTCCAGTGAGCAACCTGGCCACCGAATTCTGCAGCAGCTGAAGTTTCTGAACCGTCTTCAGAGGCAGCCCTACATATAATGCATTGCAGTAATCTAACCTTGAGGTTACCAGAGCATAGACAACAGTAGTTAGATTTGTCATGCATGGAATTAAGTATTTAAAATCTATTTATAAGTTGAACACACTCACATGGTGTATGGGGAAAGTTACCCACAGCAGAATGCAAGACCGAGACAGCTACTGTATTCCATTTCCCTCCCAGCTGTGGCTGGCAGGAGGAAGGGTCAATGAATATATGTCTGGTAGCGTTTGACAGAAGTCAGGATTAACTGGATGAAAGAACCAAACTTCTCCTTGTATTTGCAAAGTGTATTCTTAGAAAAGCAACACACTGCAGCATCTTGTAATTTGTGTGGCCTTGTAGGGATGCACTGGGCTAAAAATAAGTTAATTACCAACCAGCCCACAGAGCTTAAGTCAACCAAGGTTCAAAATTTGCCAACAACATATTTGAGGCTTGAGCACATCTGTGGGTGTCACTGATCCTTTCATTGCAGTTGAAAACAGAACCAAATCATAAGCAATTAGTGACAAGACTTGGCAGGGTAATAGGAAAGAAAATTACTACCCTTCTCCAGGAAGGGTCTTGATCCTGTTTTCCTATGCAGGAAGGATCCTAATTGGATAGTATGGATGCTACCTTTGCATACCAATTTTAACATTCTTTTTATGTACAGTGGTACCTCAGGTTAAGAACTTAATTTGTTCTGGAGGTCTGTTCTTAGCCTGAAACTGTTCTTAACCTGACGTACCACTTTAGCTAATGGGGCCTCCCACTGCCGCGCGGTTTCTGTTCTCATCCTGAAGCAAAGTTCTTAACACAAGGTACTACTTCTGGGTTAGCAGCGTCTGTAACCTGAAGCATCTGTAACCTGAGGTACCACTGTATTTGGCTTTTTAATTTTTTTAGAAAATGATTCTCTTAGGTTTGTTGCTGAGTTATTGGCCCAGTTCATTCATAACATAAGTCCATGGTTTAGTGTTACTAGGATGAGTTTGGGGCTTTACAGAGTCCTCCCTCCTTGGTCATCTGGTAAGGCTAAGAAAAACTTCCATTTTACATTAAACACAGTTTAGTGTTACTAAACTCTGGTTAACTTAAGTATACTTAGTGGAAACAGGCTTCATAAGAAACAATGGTTTGAAGTTGGTTGGTTTCTGCTAACCACAGCTAAGCCATAGCTAAGCTTGGTCTAGGGAGTGCATCTTCTCCTGCTTCCCTGCTTCATGTCACACAGTTAACTTGATACATGCATGGAGCTTCTACCCACACAATGGCTCCAACAGTGACTTCAGTGCAACTCTTCCCTTCGTGCCTGTTGAACTACCCTCAGCATTGAAGTCAAAGAGAAAGTCTTCACATAAATGGCCTCAATGGATCAAGTCCTAGTGCAGAGAGTTGGCATAACAGTTCAGAGAGGAGCACTTTTCATATGTTCTTTTTGCATTCAGTGAACATCCATGGGAGGTGTAGCATTACAGGAACAGGTTGTGTCCTTGACTTGTACATGTTCACTGAAAGACAGGGATAATGGGAACTATAGAAACTGTCATCCTTGTCCATGGGCCATGTTTGTTGGGGCCAGTGGGAGTTCGAATCCAACAACATCTGGAGGGCCAAAGATTATTCACCTCTCCTCTAAATGTTTTTGTGTTGCGACTTTGCTAATCTTAATGGCCTGCACTCTCTTTCTTTTCCTGGTTCATTGTGATTTCACTTTTTCAACCTTCTTTTTCAAAATGTGTCTTTCTGCTCATTAAGGAGCCAAATTGCTGGGAGGCTGCCTTGCTTAAAGGCATTGTCTGTCCATCCATCTGACGGAATTGATAAATAGATCCAAGAATTGTGGGTCGTAACTGAAGCCGTTTGATGCTTTGTTATTTCAGGGTTGATGTGCTAAGATGTATCGATTTCAACAAAGTTTAACAACATTCAGTTACAACTAGCAATCACACATGCTTGCTTTGCCTCAGCTGTCTTAAATCCCAGTCTTCACCCTCCAACTGCTGGCTGCTAAACCTAGTGCTTAGTGAGACAGAGAGCTCTGCTTCATAGATCTGTGATAGAAAAAAAAATCAGGGCTCCAGCTTTCAAGAATAATAGCTCTTTAATTCCATGATAAAATTGACTAAGGGACTTGGAGCTTTGGACGGTTTTACACAAAGCATGTTCATCGTTAATCAATGTAGAATTGCATTTGTAGTTTGCATGGGAGATTCAGCCAGTGCAAATGGGTCTTCCATGCTGAATGACATAAACTTATACATAATACTTCTAAATGGAAGTTGTGAGATGGAAACTATACACCTGTTCAACTGTGAGTACTCAGTAATCAGAAGATGGAAGACCTACAGTACAATTCTGTGTAATTCTACTTAGAAGCAAATCCTATAATGTCCAGTGGGACTTACCTAAGATTAAGTGTCACATACCAGGTTCACTTTTGCTTCTGTGTGGGCTTCAAAAAGTGACAGAGCCTTTGGATTTGGATATGGAAGACCAGAATCAGACTGGGGATTGAGCTAAGAGCTAAAAACGAAGCAGCAATTCATGCCCTATAGTAGGGCTTCGTTCATTGGGACGGGACAGGATAAGTTGGTGGCAAGATCTGGGTAGTTCTTGCCTACCCAGATTGCTCATATTGTAAAGATAGTTCGTGACACTGAAAAGGCTAGATGCACTTGAATTAGCAGAGTTATACTCTACCTGACCCCCTGTAGAAGAATACCACAGTAAAATAATGAGTATCGGAAGCTTACTATGTTTGGTAAGAAAAATATGAAACCGGAAATGGAGTAATGTAAGTAGCAACTGGTTTTATATTTGGTGTCCTTCTCTTATGACTCTTCCCTTTTCTTCTGGCCATGTAAATACCATGATATACAGCTGGGACCGCCAACCTTTTGGGGCCAATGGGCACACTTGGAATGTTGAAGAGGTGCCATGGGTGCTAGTAGCAAAATGGCTGCTGTTAGGGTGTGTGTGTGGTATAAAGCAAAATGGCTGCCATGGGGAAGTGTATGAGAATCCGAGACGGTGAAAACAAGAACTGAGCAGGAACAGCAGTCTCTCATACATAGTTGATTTTTGAGGGAATATTTACTGAGAGCTTGTTGTGGGTGCCATAGGAAGCGCTGGCAGGCATATTGGTGCCCACATGTACTGTGCTGAGGAACCCTGCACTGCAGTAATCAAAATGACTCCTGTTTAACAACAGCTGTAATACATGAATATTCGCTCTCTCAGTGTGTATATTAGAATGCAGTTACTTAACTCATATTGAACAGTGTTCATATTTATGATAATCCACCTTAAATGCTTTCTCTTTTCCATCCAGAATGTGATTATTAATGAGTGAAACTGCAGTGTGTGACTCTATAAAAACAGATAAAAAGAGGCCTACCTACTGTGCCCATCTCTGGAGCCTGATGAAACTACAAACAGTAAACACAAGCAGCTCATAATCTTAATCAGTATAGTTGAAGGCACTGATTGCTCATGTGTAAAAGCTCATCAAGCGTAAAGAAACAGAACAGAGAGTTAATAGAAACAGCCTGATGTACAATGCCAACCCCTAGTTATTTCATTCTGCTTCCAGAAGCAACCTGCAAAATTATAGCAGTATGTCTAATTACTGCCTGTCAGAGCAGCAGGCGTCCAACAGGAGAGGAATTAATTGATATTACTCTAAGGGATTTTCCAGACGATGTTTTTTTATTGTGCAATAAATGCACAGTTGTTCAGTTGTGGGGGGATCCAGATGTCTTTCCGCGTGTAGTACGACTTCTGTGGAGAAACGGCATTACCAAACAGTGTGCCTTTATTAGGGGGAGAATGGGATGTTAACCTAAATGCATGCGGAGGGTGGGGTGCTGGAAGAAAAGCTGTAGCTCAGTGGCAGAGCACATGATAAAGTCATAATAAAGTCCCAGGTTAAATCTCTGGCATTTCCAGGTAAGGCTCAGTTTTACACCATGGAGAACTACTGCCAGCCAATGTAGACAAGTGATTAGGAACTTGTGGCCCTTCAAATGTTGCTGAACTACATCTCCCATCAGCCCTGACTGTTGGCCAAGCTGACTGGGGTGGATAGGAGCTGAAATACCGCAACACATGGAGGACCACAGGTTCCCTGTTGCGTAGGCTGTACTTAGCTTGATGAACCAATGGTATTTTTCTAGGTTCCTCGCTTCATGAGTGTCCCAAACATCTATTGGCTAGTGACATACTGATGACTCTTCCTTCTATGCCACTTTATGAACTAATTTTAAAAGGGGGTAGTTTGGTTTTTTTTAATGGTTTTATGCAGTCTATAATCTGAACCATGGGTAGGCAAACTAAGGCCCGGGGACTGGATCTGGCCAAATCGCCTTCTAAATAAGGGCCCCTGATGGTCTGGGAATCAGTGTGTTTTTACATGAGTAGAATGTGTCCTTTTATTTAAAATGCATCTCTGGGTTATTTGTGGGGCATAGGAATTCATTCATTCCCTCCCCCCCAAAAAAATATAGTCTGGCCCCCCACAAGGTCTGAGGGACAGTGGACCAGCCCCCTGCTGAAAAAGTTTGCTGACCTCTTATCTGAGCACATACAGACATACATTTTGGCAAGGAAACATTCCTGCATCTTTTAGAGAAAATAAATGTGAACCTGTAAGAAATGGCTGCAGTTTGAACCTAAGGACCTTGCCTTCTGGCATAAAGAACTTCATATGCGACTGTATACAGCATCAAAGTTGTGTACAACATGTAGCTGGGATTCTCCCACACAACCTCCTAAATAACAGTGGATTTAGAATTTGGGATGCTCTGGTTTTGCACAAACTTATTCAGGAAGTGCAATAAAAGGGAATCCAAATATATATTTTTAAAGGAAGATACTATAGTGTCATGGTTTCCATTCATTTTCTGTAGAACCTCTTCAAGCTGAATACTGATTCTTTTTTCTTTCTTTTTGAAAGGTGGGTGTGGAAATGATGGGGCTCAAAACTAGAGCTACCTGGTGGTAGGAAATGGCCACTGACAACAGAATCAACAACGAAAATCCAAGGCCTATTTGTATGTTCAGCTGTAGAATTTACACACACACACACACACACACACACACACACACACACACAGTAGGGTAATTAAGTAAATTGTCAGGACTAGAATTATTCTGAAATAATTGCACCTCAGCTGTCAAAAGAATAAACTGCGTTCCATACTGCCACTGCACAGTTTGAATGGTACTGGCAGTATTTATGTTGACGATGTTGTTGTTGCTGCTATTGTTGTTAGCTTAAATTTATATCTTTCTCCCGGGTAACAACAATTTGAAAACTAAAGTTTTAAAAGTAGAACAATTTACAGTCAAACACAGTCTAAAACAAGAGGTGACAGCAATTATCAAGATACAGGTATACGCTAACAAAATTACAGCAGAAGCTATCAAAACAGAAGCAGGTATGTCCAACAGAATACCTCTTATCAGTCTCTACTAAAGTCCTGGCAGAATAAAAATGTTTTGGCAACAAAAAATGGGCAGATGATGCCAGTCATACTTCAGAAAGGAGGGAGTTGCGTTGCTGGGGTGCTGTCATGGGAAAAGCCCCTTTTCAGGTTATCACGCAGCTATTGTTCTTTGACTGCCTTCAAGGGTAGCCCCACATAAAGTGCAGGAAAATGATCTGTTCTGGAGGTTACCAAGGCATGGACAAATGTGGCCAGACATAGGTTTTCTGGGTTTAGTCTTGAACATATAGAACCAGCAGAAAAAAGGATATTCAACTGAACTTTGAACTAAGCCCTGAATTCTATTTCAAAAATTACATGAAGCTTGGTAAATACCAACAAACTCTCCCCTGCCATCATTGAATAAACTACTCCTCCTGCCTCAGTTGAGCTCATTTGGAAAAAGTGAATCATAGGCTTAAATGTTCCATTGAAATCAATGGGAGTTAAGAGTGCTGAACTTTGGCCAAGCCATATAATGCACCCTTGTGTTCCAGTTGTGCAGCATATATCTCCTGTGTAACAGAGCCAGTGTGATGTAAACTGTGCTGGACTTCAAATGGGACTCCTTAGGTTTTATCCCCACTCAGTCACAATGCCTAGTTTTGTTGGGGAAATGTGCCATGTGTACTACTCTCAGCTCCTAAGATTCGATTGATTTGATTTATTGTATTACTATTCTGCTTTTCACTCACAAGATTTGCAAAGCGGCTTGCAAACAATAAATAACCACAACATAATAGAGCATCACAAATGCAACGTAAATTATATAGCATAATTAACAAATCACCAGTGAAACAATTGCAAATTGTCAGTAAAACAATTACAGTGGACACTCGGGTTGCGAACGTGATCCGTGCGGGAAGCACGTCTGCAACCCACAGCATCCGCAAGCCACAGTGCCGCATCTGCGCACCCGCGGGTTGCGATTCGGTGCTTCGGCACATGCGCTGAAACCCATAAGTAACCCGTTCCGGTACTTCTGGGTTCGGCGCGGTGCGCCACCCGAAATCACACAACCCAAAGCGTCTGTAACCCGAGGTATGACTGTACAATCTGTCAAACACTATTAACAAAAAACCAAAAAAACCCCAAACCCCAAAAATAAGCTAAACAGCACAATTACAACAGAAGTCATATAGGATTCACGATACTATAATTTGTTCATAATCTATAAAACAGCGTTAGTGACATTAACAAAATAGTAGCCGGGGGGACGGGGACGGGGACTAAACGCTGCTGAATTCATACACATGCTTCCCTTACTCCCGTGACTTGGAGGAAGGGCAAAATAAAAATGGAATCGCATCATCATCATCACCACCATCCTGTTGTTGTTGTTGTTGTTTAGTCGTTTAGTCGTGTCCGACTCTTCGTGACCCCATGGACCAGAGCACGCCAGGCACTCCTGTCTTCCACTGCCTCCCGCAGTTTAGTTAAACTCATGCTGGTAGCTTCGAGAACACTGTCCAACCATCTTGTCCTCTGTCGTCCCCTTCTCCTTGTTACCTCCATCTTTCCCAACATCAGGGTCTTTTCCAGGGAGTCTTCTCTTCTCATGAGGTGGCCAAAGTATTGGAGCCTTAGCTTCAGGAACTGTCCTTCCAGTGAGCACTCAGGGCTGATTTCCTTAAGAGTGGATAGGTTGGATCTTCTTGCAGTCCATGGGACTCTCAAGAGTCTCCTCCAGCACCATAATTCAAAAGCATCAATTCTTCGGCGATCAGCCTTCTTTATGGTCCAGCTTTCACTTCCATACATCACTATTGGGAAAACCATAGCTTTTACTATACGGACCTTTGTTGGCAAGGTGATGTCTCTGCTTTTTAAGACGCTGTCTAGGTTTGCCATCGCCTTCCTCCCAAGAAGCAGGCGTCTTTTAATTTCATGGCTGCTGTCACCATCTGCAGTGATCAAGGAGCCCAAGAAAGTAAAATCTCTCACTGCCTCCATTTCTTCCCCTTCTATTTGCCAGGAGGTGATGGGACCAGTGGCCATGATCTTCGTTTTTTTGATGTTGAGCTTCAGACCATATTTTGCGCTCTCCTCTTTCACCCTCAATAAAAGGTTCTTTAATTCCTCCTCACTTTCTGCCATTAAGGTTGTGTCATCTGCATATCTGAGGTTGTTGATATTTCTTCCGGCAATCTTAATTCCGGCTTGGGATTCATCCAGCCCAGCCTTTCGCATGATGAATTCTGCATATAAGTTAAATAAGCAGGGAGACAATATACAGCCTTGTCGTACTCCTTTCCCAATTTTGAACCAATCAGTTGTTCCATATCCAGTTCTAACTGTAGCTTCTTGTCCCACATAGAGATTTCTCAGGAGACAGATGAGGTGATCAGGCACTCCCATTTCTTTAAGAACTTGCCATAGTTTGCTGTGGTCCACACAGTCAAAGGCTTTTGCATAGTCAATGAAGCAGAAGTAAATGTCTTTCTGGAACTCTCTAGCTTTCTCCATAATCCAGTGCATGTTTGCAATTTGGTCTCTGGTTCCTCTGTCCCTTCGAAATCCAGCTTGCACTTCTGGGGGTTCTCGGTCCGCATACTGCTTAAGCCTGCCTTGTAGAATTTTGAGCATAACCTTGCTAGCGTGTGAAATGAGTGCAATTGTGCGGTAGTTGGAGCATTCTTTGGCACTGCCCTTCTTTGGGATTGGGATGTAGACTGATCTTCTCCAATCCTCTGGCCACTGCTGAGTTTTCCAAACTTGCTGGCATATTGAGTGTAGCACCTTAGCAGCAGCATCTTTTAAAATTTTAAATAGTTCAGCTGGAATACCATCATTTCCACTGGCCTTGTTATTTTCAGTGCTTTCTAAGGCCCGTTTGACTTTACTCTCCAGGATGTCTGGCTCAAGGTCAGCAACCACACTACCTGGGGTATACGAGACATCCATATCTTTCTGGTATAATTCCTCTGTGTATTCTTGCCACCTCTTCTTGATGTCTTCTGCTTCTGTTAGGTCCTTACCATTTCTGTCCTTTATTATGGTAATCTTTGTACGAAATGTTCCTTTCATATCTCCAATTTTCTTGAACAGATCTCTGGTTCTTCCCATTCTGTTGTTTTCCTCTATTTCTTTGCATTGCTCGTTTAAGAAGGCCTTCTTGTCTCTCCTTGCTATTTTTTGGAAATCTGCATTCAATTTCCTGTATCTTTCACTATCTCCCTTGCATTTTGCTTGCCTTCTCTCTCCCGCTATTTGTAAGGCCTCATTGGACAGCCACCTTGCCTTCTTGCATTTCTTTTTCATTGGGATGGTTTTCGTTGCTGCCTCCTGTATAATGTTGCGAGCCTCCATCCATAGTTATTCAGGCACTCTGTCCAGCAAATCTAAATCCTTAAACCTGTTCCTCACTTCCACTGTGTATTCATAAGGGATTTGGTTTAGATTGTATCTTACCGGCCCAGTTTGAGCTTGAATTTTGCTATAAGAAGCTGATGATCTGAGCCACAGTCAGCTCCAGGTCTTGTTTTTGCTGACTGTATAGAGCTTGTCCATCTTTGGCTGCAGAGAATATAATCAATCTGATTTCGATGCTGCCCATCTGGTGATGTCCATGTGTAGTGTCGTCTACTGTGTTGTTGGAAAAGAGTGTTTGTGATGACCAGCTTGTTCTCTTGACAGAACTCTATTAGCCTTTGCCCTGCTTCGTTTTGATCTCCAAGGCCAAACTTGCCAGTTGTTCCTTTTATCTCTTGATTCCCTACTTTAGCATTCCAGTCCCCTATAATGAGAAGAACATCCTTCTTTGGTGTCACTTCTATAAGGTCTTGTAAGTCTTCATAAAATCGGTCAATTTCAGTTTCTTCAGCACCAGTAGTTGGTGCATAAACTTGGATTATCCTATACCAGAGCAAACCATCAATTCTCCCCACCCCAGGGTGGCTTCCCACTCCTCCAGGGGAAGAGCCATACCTCAGTGGTAGAGCACCTGCTTCCTATGCAGAAGGCCGCAGATTCAATCCCTGGAATCTCCAGTGCACCACATCTGAAACCCTGCAGAGCTGCTGCCAATCAATGTAGACAGTACTGAGCTGGATGAACCAATGGTGTGACTGGATATAAGGCAACTTCCTATGTTCCCTATGCAATAAGCCTCCCGCCTCATCTTCAGTGCAGCCGCTGTTAATGTAGTGCTTTAAAAATAAATAAATCACTTTTTCATGTCATGGGAGGTGGGGGGAAGCCCTCAGGAGATGCCCCAGTTCAGCATTATTGTCTGTAATGCATGCAGACTGGAGAAGAAAGCCGCAGTCCCTGTGATGATATATTATTACCTTAGTCACACTACAGTGTCATTAATTATTATTTGTAAATGAAACAGGATATTTTAGACGTTAGGGAAATTAACTGTTTTCCTGTAGCTGTAGACCATGTATCACATTGTGAGCTGAGGCAAATTAGTCAAATATGTTTATTTTGTAACTGTTGCAGTGCAAAAGATCAGTTATTCTAGGGGCCAGGTAGCCTTAATAGTGCGATGAGGGTTTCCCCAACTTTGAATGTGGGTGCACGAATCTGTCCACTTTGAGTTTCTCTCTGTTTCCTTTTTCTCTCCCATTCTAAGATTCAGTTCTACACATTTCAACATCAGTTTGTGATTTATTTTTTAAAGTTCAGTATATTTGAATATTCATTAATATCTGTTGAAATAATGGGTAATACCCAGCGAAATTCTACTCAGAGTAGACCCACTAAAATTAATGAGTCTCAATTAATCATGTCTATTAACCTCAATTAGTCTGCTCTTGAGTGTTCTATCCCCCCTTCAGGAAGAGTGTAGAACTAAGTGAAATAAATGGTACGTTGTTTGAGCAAGCTCTGGAATTATTTTTCACATTTTCTTCCACTGGGAAAATCTGTGCCACTTCAGATTATCATGTATCTGAGTGGGAAAACTGGCAGTCTGGAGCAAGGGCTAATGGGATATTATCTTTAGCGCTACTGTAGATAATCCACATGCAGCAGCTACAAATTTCTGAGATGAGTGTCTGAGACTGTGGCCTCTTTTTCTCTGGTAACACACAGCCTCTCTTGCTCTCTGTAGCAAGACTTCCAAGCACCTGACAGATAGCTGTACCACGAGCTTGTCTCAGTTTAGATTAGGGGCAGATGTTCTGTTCTTTGTCACTTTTGCAACTGCTCAATCTACCCCCCCTTTTTTTGGTAGATTGAATAAAATGCATGAAAGATTTGCATTTAGATTGTCCTTTAAATTGCATTTAATATGCATCATATGCATTCCTCCCCCTTTGTAAGCTTTTTCAGTGTATTTCACCTAAAAAATGTGCATTTTCTTTGAACTGACCCTTCATTGCAAAATGATCTGATTGATAGTTGTGTTCCAATTCACATGTAAATCTGGGAGTGTTGAATTAGGTCAGAACCAAATAAATTTCTCCTCCATCCCTCGTTCAGACTGTCATGTGTGGAGTTCTGTGTGCAATTGTGTATGTCTTTGTTTCTCACAACCTGACTATATATTATGTTTCACACACAGAGAGCCAAAGAGCTACTTTTAAACAGAACACCAGAGGTACTTTGCCACAATTTTTTATTTTGGTCAAGGAAGGGTTGTTAAGTGATGACTGCACCCCTAGATTCCGTTAGTCAAAATCCAAAATGTTGCATTTCCAGTCCTTTTTAACAGTCTGGGTATGTTTAATGTGCAACTTCTAATGTCAAGTCCTGACCTTTAAAGTCTGACAAAGCAACTAGGCATCTTCCTCACAACCATAATCATTGAGTAATAGAGGCAGCCAAGGATCTAGGCAGAGTTTCTTTTTGGACATCGACAGCAGTTCAATACACAACCTTTGGAAACTTTTAAAAATGCCCCTGCTGAGGAAATGTGACTGAGGACATTAATTGCTATCCCTGGTGTTGTTCGTCTCTCTATCTTTCTCCAAGGATCAAATTAGTGAAGAGGAAAGGATTGATTTGATACTAAGAAAACTGTGTTGTTGCTAGCCATGCCTGCTGAGTTTTCTGGGTCGTGCTGTGTGGCAATCACGACCCATTAGCTTTTACAAAAGGCCTGTTCCCAGTTGAACTGAAAGCTTAGTTTGTTGAGACTTTTGGGAGTCTTGGCTGAGAGTTTCCTTGAGGGCTACACTACAATGCAATCATGTATAATTTGGTGTGTGTGTGAGCAAAAAATAGCTACCGGGAGTTGCAGTTTTGGGGATGGATGGGAAGGGAGTGCTTAGCCTTAGATTGTTTCTCTCCCTGCTGCAAGGGTAAAAGTAGTTGATGCAGATATCTTGAGGTTAATCTTGCCCTGCCACCCCCCTCTCAAGACTGCAGCCACTTGCAGCTCCTTACTATTTCTCTTTTTAAAATCTGACACAACCTGTAGAACAGGTGTGTCCAACTTTCAAGAGACTGAGATCTGCTCCGACTATAAAAAAACTGGCAGTGATCTACAAAAGTTGTTGAGCTTTTTTGTGGCGGGTCCAATGATCTACCGTGATCTACCACAGACACCCCACAGTCTACCAGTAGATCACGATCTACCTGTTGGACATCCCTGCTGTAGGCTAAAGGTTAACATCCTAAAGGTAAAGGTAAAGGGACCCCTTACCATTAGGTCCAGTCGTGGCCGACTCTGAGGTTGCGGCGCTCATCTCGCTTTATTGGCTGAGGGAGCCGGCGTACAGCTTCCGGGTCATGTGGCCAGCATGACTAACCCGCTTCTGGTGAACCAGAGCAATGCACGGAAATGCCGTTTACCTTCCCACCGGAGTGGTACCTATTTATCTACTTGCACTTTGACGTGTTTTCGAACTGCTAGGTTGGCAGGAGCAGAGACCGAGCAACGGGAGCTCACCCCTTCGCAGGGATTCGAACCGCCGACCTTCTGATTGGCAAGTCCTAGGCTCTGTGGTTTAACCCACAGTGCCACCCGCATCCCTGTTAACATCCTAATGGCGTGCAATTGCCTTTAAAGTGAGGTTTGGCCCTGAGATGCAAGGAAGTAATGGCTGCCAGCTTGGGTGGCTTTAAAAGAGGATTGGACAAATTCATTTTGTAAGTAAGGTTGTGGGGAAAGTGCCTGAGGTGCCCACCATTTCTCTAAGCGAGATTGATTTCTGGTCAGTTGCTAGTGCCAGGCCTGCTCTATCTCAAGGAAGTTCATGAGAACCAGTTGTGCCAGTAGAATCTCGGTGATATAATTCTGATGCCAGAATAAATTCCTCTTCTCCCCCCTGTCCTAGTCCCATGCCTTGAGGATTCCCACCAAACCAGAGCTGGCACTTCTATAAGATACTAAAAGCCAGCTTTGCATTTCTGCAGCCTGGAAAAACTCAGAGAAGGATGTTCCTAATTTTCCACTCTTAAACACATCTGCTCAGTGTTCAGACCACAAAGTACTAAAAGTATATTGTGGAACATGAAGCAAAACATCACACACAAATTAAAGACCCACTTTCTTACCCACCCACCCCTCTCGAGAAAATCACATTTCTCTTCCAAATGAAACTGTTATCAAAGGCATTGCTTAGCCAGCCTAGCAGCAGATTTGGAAAAGGTTGAAGCCTAGTGCTAAGCTGGTATCCAAAAGTAGACTCAGCTGGCGTAGGGCAGAGGCCTGCAACCTGACTGGTCCTAGGCATATTTCCTTGGAAACAATTCAAGGGACTTATTTCTGAATTAACTGAGTTTGTAAGGATGTGAATTGTCATCTTGGCCACTTGATAGTCTTTGGCAAGCACTGGCTCCTTAACCTCACCCCTGCTCCCTTCATTTGCAACATGGAGGCAAGATTTGCCTACCTTCCAGGGTTCTTTTGAGGCTGATGAAGAGGGAATATGTTATAGGCTTTACATATCATTCTTTCTATTTCTGGTGTTTGGATTCTCAGTGCTATTACTTATGTTATCCAAGATTGCGCTGTTTGCACACTAAAGGGAGGAATGTGGAGGCTTTGGGGAAATTGCAAGTGTACCAAAAGTCTATGGGGCAGGGAGGAAACTATAATGAATGGTTGAATGGCCATGGAGAGCTGACTGACTGTTGGGTGCCACCCCCACCCCCACCACAAAACCCTGGGAAAATGGAATGGAGTAACTGGAATCCTGAACAGGGAGCACTCCGTGCTGCAACATTTTGTTGCAGCTCCCACTAGTATTTTCCAAGTGCTAAGCTGCTGTTGTGAATAATGCAAATGCTAACAAAGTAATAATATTTCCCCATCCTTCCTGTAAATGTGTTATTCTCCTGTGATCAGCCATAAGGGGACTAGTAAAAGGAAGTAATTATTAATTCAATTAGAGGATGAAGGGCAAAACGTACAGTCTGCCATTGGGAGATGACAGCGACAGATGAAGAATGGGCTGAGGGATGTGCATAGTGGGGAGATGAAGAAGCTTCCCTGTCTCTTCTGTCCAAGCTGACCTTGGCCTTTGCCACAAATGTGCTTTTGCTTATGAAACATCCCTTCAGAGAGGCTTCTATTTAGATAGCAATATATTTTGGGATCAGAACCTTGATGTCAGTGTGGAGGTTAGGATGCCAGAAGAGACACACAGTGGGAGCTTTCAGGTCATTTGAATGCATTAAGTATTTACAATCGGCTGAGCAGCTGGAGAAAAGAGATGTGGCCTCAAGGGCCCATTGGAAGCTGAAATCCTTGGAGCAACATCTCCAGAGCATAACAGTCTTTCTAAATGTAAATGGAACGAAGGTCCCCCAGGGTGAAGGTCCTAGCAATAGGACAAATGTTGTTTGGCTTTCTGCTACCTGAGTGTCATGTTTTTAAAGCAATATTTAAAGTAGTGCCATTCTGAGCAGCTCCTAGGTGCCACATAACATTATTTCTGTAGTTGTCAACGTTAGAAATGCTGAAAAAATAACACTCAAGAGCTGGTGCTTTTTTTCCTAAAACATAGTCTACTACCATCTTGTTATCCAGATAAAAGGAACAGACCTTAAATAGCTAATATTAAGTGTGATCAGATCTGCTTTTGCTATCAAAATGCTCATCTTGTGATTGTCGAAGCACCAGTCTAAATGCTGCAGGACAAAATATAAGAAAGCTATAGCTGTGAGCTGTCCATGTTATAAGAAATATCCTTTGCCCTGGTCAGTTTCACCCATGTGAGCTACATATCCCCCCCCCCAATTGGCCATTTTAACTATGTTGGAAAATCCAAAATACATAAATGATCAAGATGCACAGGAAATAATGAGAAACCTCTTTTAATGTGGTTTCGCTAAAACAAGTCCTGTTCCAGTGATCTTGCTGAACCGAGAACAGAAAGCATTGGCCTCTTATCTAGTCTTGCCTGCTCTGACTGGCAAGAGCTCTCCAAAGTCTAAGAGGCAGATGTCAGGGACTCTGAACTAGGGATGTGGGGGGGGGGGAGAGTATGAGTTAGCGATGAAAGGAGAACATACCAAATTTGCACTTTCCAGAATGATATGTGAATGGAAACAGCCAGCCTCCAAAATTCACACTTCTCCAAATATTGCAGTGAAGCTCTCCAGCCAAGTCATGTGCCCGACAGTGCAAAGACTAGAGGAAAAGGTGCAAGCAAATGCATTTAACGGTGAAAATAACATACAGAACGCACTATAGTAACAAAACTTGCTTTGCAAAAAATGTGTATATTGGGAGAAATTCATGCTGAAATGCTGGTTTTTAATTGCAGACTGGATGCGGGGAAATGAATGTCAGGTCAGAAACTGAGAAACAGAGATTGAAACTGACATCTGTTGTGAGCTTAACCCATATGCCCAACGAAGTCCTTGGGTTGCGCCACCAACCCTCTGAAGCATGGCTCCTTGGTATCCATACAGATGGTTTTCCTTGTTTCTCAAAACTTATGTTCATACGCATGAGAGGGGGCAAGGAGTTGTTGCTACTGCTTGCCCTTCTCCAGCTTTTAAAAAATGCATCTCCTTGGCCATTTCAAGGCTAGAATGAGGAGACATTCTCAGATAATTGGAAGGGAAGCAGCTGCAGTTCATTGGTATGCTGATCTGTCCCCAAATCCTACTTCCCATTGCTGAAGCCTCTTTACCAGGGGTCAGCAAACTTTGTCAGCAGGGGGCTGGTCCACTGTCCCTCAGACCTGGGGGCGGACGGACTATAATTTGAAAAAAAATAATGAACAAATTCCTATGCCCCACAAATAAACCAGAGGTGCATTTAAAACAAAAGGGCACATTCTACTCATGTAAAAACACGCTGATTCCCAGACTGTCGGCAGGCTGGATTTAGAAGGCGATTGGGCCGGATCTGGCCCCTGGGCCTTAGTGTGCCTACCCATGGGCTAGGCAGTGTTTTTCCAGCCCTATGGTGAACAATAATCTTTGGGTTTCCTTTACTTAATTCACAGAGTTTTTGGCTTACTTTGGTAGGCTGTAGTCTATTGTAGGCATTTGGGGAAAAAACTATGGCAGAGTGTAATGATCTTGAAACAAAGTGTAAATGATCTTGAAAGAAAATACATGGGGCAAAAGAATGAACCTTTAATCTGTTTCAATAAATAATTGATTCTTGCTCTTCCTGCCGTTATCAGTGTAATTAAATCTGTGAACCAAGGTATCTCTTCTTGGGATATTGACTCTTTCTAAATAGCGGCTGCTCAAATATTTCCATTTGCCAGCACTGTGCTTTTAAAATAAGATGCTGCTACAGCCCAGTTAATAAGGCATTCTGAAATGTTACACGCTTCCGAGGGAAAGTTTAAAAGTAACCCGAGGGAAAATTAACCAGCTCTTGTGGATTGGATTGCTGGGGACCATGTATCTTTTCTGAACAAGTTTCGATATACGCTCTGGTTGCTTTAATGTGTACATTTGGGTCCCTGCAGGGCATGGCGTATGGTTCCGTATTTACACCAGTCAGTTTGCAAGCAAAACAACTGAAGGCGTGTGGCATTTCTGAGGGATTAATGACTGCCTTAGAGGAATAAATTGCTCAAAGCCATTAACCCTGGGAAGTCATTTAATCCCCAGAACATGGCCTGTGCCTTAGTCGTCATGGCTGCTATTTTGAGAAAGAGATCGCCCCCCCCCTTAAAATAAATAACTGAAGGGAAACAGCATGGTTGTGACCTCATTTGGGAGAGCTCAAGAGTGCCTTATAAGCCTTCTCGATGCTGGGATGTAAGGATTTCTGAATGGCACATCTGACTTGGTAGTGATGCCAATTTTGTCATGTTTCACTCAAAACAGTGGTGTCTTTGATACAGTGGTACCTCTGGTTAAGAACTTAATTCATTCCGGAGGTCTGTTCTTAACCTGAAACTGTTCTTAACCTGAGGTACCACTTTAGCCAATGGGGCCTCCCACTGCTGTTGCGCCGCCGCCATGCAATTTCTGTTCTCATCCTGAGGTAAAGTTCTTAACCCGAGGTGCTACTTCTGGGTTAGCAGAGTCTGTCACCTGAAGCGTTTGTAACCCGAAGCGTTTATAACCCGAGGTACCACTGTATTCTTGTTTTTGTCAGCACTGAATAGTGGGTTCTCAACATTGCCACTTCTTTGTCCTCTGAGATGCAACATTCCCAATACACATATTAGGATGCCATTTTTTGCTTTTCTCAGTTTCTCTATTTTCCAATCTTAAATTCCGCTCTCCACATTTCCACACTAGTTAGCATAAAAAAAAAAGCCCTCATGAAAATTCACCAGCATTTAAGTGATGATTTCTCCCAATATACATTTTTCTCTTTGAAAATTTTCCTAAGGTTCCAATTATTGCAAAGCGGTTTTCCTAGATATAATACATCTGTATGTTATTTTCACTCATATATGCACTTTAATGCACACTTTACCCTAGTATATGCATTTTTGTACACATTAATTCTCAGAGAAGTGTGAATTCTGAAGGATGGCTGCGTTTTGGTTTGTATATTGTTCCCAAAAGTGTAAATTAGGTAAGTTCATTTTTAAATGCAAACTGAATCAAGTCCCTCTGTACCTTAACTCTCCCTCTCATCAAATGCCTCAAGAAATGAAGAGTATTTTTTCTTAGTGATAAATAGCAGTGGGAATGTTTCTGACTCTGCTGGATAGATCTTTGCTGAGAGCACCAAGGTTGCACGTTCGATTCCCATAAAGGACAGCTACCTATTCCTGCATTGCAAGGGGTTGGGCTAGATGATCCTCAGGATCCCTCCAAACTTTATAATGCTATGAAACATTGAACTGTTGGTGTGCTTAGAAAGAGTATATATTTAGGTGGCGGGAGGGTAAAAATCCAATTAATCAGGCCTCTAGCTTTTAACTGTCTATGACCTTTCTGCATAAGTGGGATGTTTTAATGATTAAAAAAAAAAAGAATTGGCATATATATATATATATTGCTGGTTTTAAGGTGTTATTGTCATCACATAAAATATTGTAGGTCTCCTTGAGCTGCCATGGCAAAAAAGAGACTAGAAAACTTAATAGGAAATGATAATGATAATAATATACTTTCTGTCTGAGTTCTTCAGCTGTTCCAGCAGAAAGTTTCTGCAACTTCTATTACTAAATGTCATTTTTTATTGCATAATAACGCCCTCCCTGCTTCTGTTTCAAAAGCAGAGAATAATTTCAACTCTTCCCTGGGTTTCTTGTGGGTGTGAGCAATTTTTTCATTGGCTTGTCGGTCCTTTTTATATCCCCCACCACTTAAATATTTTCATTCCTTGATAATCTTAGGATGCTTTCAGACACAGTGCTGTATTTTGTAGGGGATGGCTATCCTGTTGCCCTCCATATGTTTCTGGACACTGGCAGCCCCAGGTAGCCTGGAGCCGGGGGTCAGGGATGAGAGGAGTTGTAGTTCAACAATATCCGGATTGCTGCAGTTTCCCTATCCCTGTGTTGGAGCAACTTCTGCTACCACCCATACTGAGCCTGTTAAGCTGTGGGATGTGTGGATTCGTGCCCTGAATGTGGTGCATGCTCTGATTTAGGTCACCTGCTAAACAATATTCATGGACTACCTGAGGGAGGAAAGCAAGGGAAAGATGAATTGCACAGATTGTGAACCAGCAAGGAAAGAAAGTGATTGGAAGCACCTCCTTTGAATTCTTCCTCTTCCCTACCAGTGTTGTTGCCTGGAGTGATATTGAAAAGGCTCTTTGCCTCCTCACACTCTAAAATCCTATCTAGTCTCACATCTTTGATATTAGCAGTATGTATGTACTGAGGCTATGAATAGCCGTCTACTTTATTTCAGACTTCAGAAATTCTATTGCATATGTAACGACGATGTGTTGCTGCCCAGTGACATTCCAAGTATGATGAAGTACGTCAATGGACTGGCTTGTTTTTCTTACAGAAATGACCAAGGAAGAGGGTGGGGCAGGGAATGAGTGGAACCTCCACCCAGGGTTCTGACTATCTGTCTGTGTGTGAATAATCTGGACATTCCTCAGGGATGTTTGCCATCTCTGCTATGAATCAAATGACCAGGCAGTTAAAATAATTTAGAAAAGTCCTGTACAATTTCCAGAGAGGTAGCTGCGGTGGTATGTTCAGCAAAAGCAACATAAAGTGTTGTGGCACCTAAAAGACTAACCATTTTTTTATTGTGGCTGGGACTGGGGGTATTGGATTCAGTTTGCATTAAAAGGTCAAACTACCTAATTTGCTTTCCTAAGCAAATGTGAAGCAGAACATGGCCATCCTTCAAAATTTGCACTTCTGCAGCCGGGTAATGTGTATAAAAACGCGTAGGCTAGGGTAAAGTGTGCATATACATCTGCATGAAAATAACATACAAAATGCAGTATAACAGGGAAAACTTAATTCTTAGGAAAAACTGTGTGGTTAAAAATGTATATATTAGGTAAAATTCCATACGAACACGTGCATTAGATGAAATTCACACTAAAATCCTGTTGAACTTTCACAAAAGGTTGAATTTGCAACTTTTTTAAAAAAATGGCAAACTGATGTGGAGAACTGAACTTAAGATGGGAAAAATGAGAAACCAAAATTGGCAGATTCTCTCTAATAATAGCACAAGTGTTGTTGGGAAAAGGCGCTTCATCAGAAACATGAAGTGCAATCCTAATTTGCAGGGTATGCTAATTTGCACATGGTTGTAATGTGTAACATCTCAGTTAGAGCTAGTTACTTATATTTAATTCATATCATTTATATACTGCTTTACACCATAGCTAGAATGTGTGCAAAATAAGTATGTGCCACTTAATGGCAATCTGGAATGCATTTTCGTTTTCTTCTGCAGTGGAAGCAACTTGTGTCTGTCACAGCTGTTGGAGAAGAATAGAATGATATATGAGTATCACGCAAATAATATGCCCTTAAATATTTGACACAGGAAATAGTTTTCTTCTGCTTCTTCATACGGGGTGAGCATTGCACTCTAGAACTGACACTTTCAAAGTGGCCTTATATTAGATGTTTTGAGTTGGAATGCTCTGATTCTAAAGAATCAGATGGGATGCTGAAACATCCAGTTTTGTATTATTTTATTTAAACAATCTCTGTAACACTTGGGACGCGGGTGGCACTGTGGGTTAAGCCACAGAGCCTAGGACTTGCTGATCAGAAGGTTGGCGGTTCGAATCCCCACAACGGGGTGAGCTCCTGTTGCTCAGTCCCAGCTCCTGCCAACATAGCAGTTCGAAAGCACATCAAAGTGCAAGTAGATAAATAGGAACCGCTCTGGCGGGAAGGTAAATGGCGTTTCTGTGCGCTGCTCTGGTTCGCCAGAAGTGGCCTAGTCATGCTGGCCACATGACCTGGAAGCTGTACGCCGGCTCCATTGGCCAATAAAGCGAGATGAGCGCTGCAACCCCAGAGTCGGTCACGACTGGACCTAATGGTCAGGGGTCCCTTTACCTTTACCTTTTATGTAACGCTTAACTGCAATAGTGAACTGAAGAAGAAATACAATACTGAAAAAGTAAAAATGGATAAAAATGATAAAATCTAACTTTGGTTAAAATGCCTGCTGGGAATAATGATGATGATGATGATGATGATGATGATGATAATGATAATGATGATGGGCTTCAGTAGACCCTGGAAGTTCAACAGGAAGTCTGACCTCAACTGGAAGGAAGTTCCATAAAGCTGGGCCCACAGTACTGAGCTAATACTAACAGTGACTCAGCAAAGAGCTGTAATATAATCAGTAATGTAATCAGTAATATAAGGAATTAGGTGGTCCTTGAGGTGTCCTGGACCCAAGTTATTAAATGCCTTGTAAATTAATACAAGAACCTTTTGTCAGAGGAAGCCCATTTCCTGTGGTGGACAAGAAGATAACCTCCCTATCAAAAAGGAAGTCACGGAAACAGCCCCACACCAGTCTTGTAGTATTAAGGCTGGCGGGTTGGCTAGTTCCAGCAATCCAGCTATGACCTGGAGAAGCATTTAGTTTTCAACAAAGGGCAACCATCTCTACTTAAGCTTGAAGTGGCCCATCATTAATTTATTCATTGAGTACCAAGTGCCAGGCCATTAATCGAGATGAACTAAAATGACACTAATGTGAATGTAATGGGACTCTCAGAATTTCCTAATTAATTTATGCTGTACTATTTGAAAGGGGTTAAGGATGCTCTCATCTTGTGTTCTGATGTGCTATTAAACAAAATGTAAAAACGTGGGGGTTTTTTTTTGGGGGGGGGTCTTCATTGAAGAGCCTACAGAGCAGAGACAAGTGGCAACAGTTATCTAGTTTTTCATGCACCTGTCAACATGAGAAGCAAGAAACAGCACACAACCCTGGTGGAATTTCCCATGTTTTAGTGGCTGCATGGGATCTGTCTGTACTGTGGATCAGTCTATAGGGCTAGAAGTTAAACATTTAGGCTGTAGGACACTTAGGTTGTAGGACAATGTAACCAGAAGTGTATGAGGAGCAAGCATCAAAACACACTGAGGAATGGCAATGACACCTTACACATTGCATTGGGAGAATATAGGTTCCTTTCCCTTCTTATTACAGAAGGACATGCCAATTTTGATTCTCTTCATTTTTCCAATCTTAAATTCAGTTCACCACATTTTGCAGCAATTTGCAATTTTTTATCCTTATGAAAATTCACCAGCATTTTATAGTGTGAATTTCTCATAATAAACACATTTTCATATGCAGTTTTGAGTCATGTACACATTTTTGCAAGCAATTTCCCTTAATATGCATTTTTGTGTAATATTTTCATGAATATCTTTTTACGGATATTTTTATTCACACAAACACATGCATTTTTTGTACACCTTTCTTGGTTGGAGAACTGTATCGCAAAAATGTGCAGATTTTGATTCTTCTAGCTGTGTTTTGGTTTGCATATTGTTTTGGAAAGGGCTTTTAAAGATTCGGCTTTAAACATGGACTAAATTGAATTTCTCCTCCGCTTTGTCAGATTTAAATCACTTGCCACTGCAAGCATTCCACAGCCTCACTGTTTAGTGCCAGGAATACCCTGCTCCAGGGCTACGACACCATCTCATCTTCTTCTGACAAAGTGGGAACTGGGGCTCTTGTACATGATCAGTATGGGGAGGGCCTTAGCTCAGTGGTACAGCACATGTCTTGTATGTGGAAGATCCTGGGTTCAAGCCCTGGCAATTCCACCATCCCAACACCAACATCCTTGCTGTGGTTGGTTGCCCCAAGGTTGGGGCTGCTCAAATGCCCCAGTGGGACTGCCGCTGCTACAGACTTGGCACTCCTGATGGTGCACCCAAGCTGCCCTGACCTTTCCACAGTCCAGCCCTCTCCAGTAAATCAGCAGCAATGCTGGTGTCAGGAGGGTGGCGCCATCCCACCCCACATGTCACTGCTGGATAAATCCACATTTGCTGGTGATACAGAGGTCTCCTATCTCCATGTCACAATGCCACCACCTCAAGGATCTTCCATTTTATCCCTATATCACAGGTCTTCCAGGAGGCCTAGAATGTGCACCTAGTTGCATGGACAGCCAGCCTTGGAGAAAAGGAGGTGGGATAATCAAAGGAAGAAACAAACAAACAAACAAACAAACAAACAAACAAACAAACAGAAAGAGGCCTCTGGAAGCCATATTCTTGGCTGTTGCTAATGGTGTACAAATCTAGCTTTTTAGTACTGAAGCTCTTTTCCCTGAGTCTATGAGCAGAAAAGCCCATAGCTATCTCCACAACTCAGGAGCACAAAATACAGGACTGAATAAAAAACCAGTGATAATTCATCCTTTTAACTTGGCTCCAATAGTATTACTACTCCTGTGTTTGTTTGTTTTTGCTTTGCTCATTAACTTTGAGTGTGTTGACAGGCTCTGAGCATAGCAGGGGATTCACAAGAACCATTATTGGAAATGAACACATTTGTCTTCTGAGGTATAGATTACAAGAAGAAAAGCAAAACTGAGTTGCTTAGTTTTTTGTTTTTTTAACCATTCATCATTTTTCATAACTGACTTAAAAATAAACATTTATTATATATGAACATCCTCCCAGGAGGCTCACAATCAAAAGGACTGATCATATCTACTGCAACAGCTTCAGCAGTTTTATAGCATCAGGTGCTACCAGAACATTTGCTGGTGGTATCCTTGTCATTACCTAGACACAAAAGATTTTACACAAAAAATCTAAGTAGCTGGAGTTAGCCAGTGTACTAAAGAGATCTGATGGGTAGCACATTAGATATGGACCTGGGCTTGAATCATAACCCAACCTAAACCTCCACTTGTATGCTATATTTATGGAAAAATTGCCACTTGATATAATAAAAAGCTCTATGTGGTTTACACAGAAGCAATGGAAAAAAAGGTATGAGCACCCCTTTTTCTCAAGCAGAGGAACTCTCAGGAGCTCACTTCAGGTTCCCAGTCATTCCTTAGAAGCCACCCCACAACTGACATCAACTGTGTTGATGGGGAAAATGGTCCTGTGGGCCAAATTTAGACCCTTGGCAGGCCAGGTTTGACCCACGGGTAGCACAGGTTCCCCATTCTGGCATGATACACACGAAAATGGGAATGAGAGTCATGTATTTGGTGCAATTGCTTACCATATTGTTGGAACTCAAATTATCATTTGTAATGGTAGTACCATACAGGTCTTATATTCTTCTCCACGTACTGCTGCTAAGCATCTCATAGTTCCCCCATGGCAGCATTCTTCTAGGAAGGCTACCTTTATAATAATTCCATTATGTTTTATTTTTTTCGTATATTAGTTGGGTGGATTGAGAGTTTGCAACCCTAACGGTCTGTTCATAAGATATCTCCATTCTTCCCGTGGCTTTCCTCCCTGCTTCAGAGCAATGCAGGGTAGTTATTCAAAGGATGGCATTTCTGAAAGTGGTTGAAATCCAGATGGCAAAGAAAACAACTTCACCACCTAATTATGGGGCTTAGCCAGCAAACTGTCAGTTATAGTAACGAGAACTCTGTAGCAGTAACTGTAGCGAAAATGTAAGACCCGTAAGCGTATTAACAGTTGGTGCTAAAAATAATGTTAAATCATAGGGAAATGTCTTCCAGTGCTTGAAGTGTTGCTCAAAGAAAGGGGGAGGGGATCTCTTTCATTCATCCTGATATTGATTTCTCTGGATGGCTTCATACACGTGTTTTTTGAAGTAGCATAGCCCTTATGCAAGGACTGTACTATATCAAGACTCCCTTTAAGGAGACCTTGCTTGGGGTGATTGCCGCCTCCTCTAAGGTTCCTCCCCTACCAGTTGGGATCAATGTAAAACCCACATGTTGTCATGGGCCAGGAGTTAGTTTCGCCTGCTGAACAGCCTGAAGGCTGCAGCTGATCAGCCTTTGAGGACATGGGGGAGAAGGCACTGATGAGAACCAGATGGCTTCAGCCTTCTTCAACAGAGCTCTGAGCAGCAGTCAGATACTGGAAACAACACCTCTGGTTCCTGGTCCTACCTTGCTGCTTCCTGGTCTCCATCTGCACCTTTGGCTTCATGACCATTGGATTCCCTGACCTCTGAATTATCTGCCTACGTGGATTGCTATTTGACTAACCCTCGGAATGGACTTGACTTTGTATGCTGACTCCACCAAGTGTGTCTCAGAGACTCTTATCTTCTGTTAGTCTGTCCTCACATTCCACAAGCTCTGCACACTGTTGCTCGGCAACAGGACGACACGTGACTTCTTTGACAGATGTTAAGCACTCTATGCAAATAAAATATACTTAAGCCACAGTTCTCCACAGTAAGAGAGCTATGAAGCTGGAAAGATCCTCTCTGAGTGGGACCTGCAACAAAATGTCATAGAGTGGAATGCTCCTCTTCAGTGTTCCAGCCAGAATGCCTTTTTTAAGGCATTGTGTCCCAGCGATAGGCAACTGGGTTCCTTCCAGATACAAGTGGACTACAACTTTCTTCATCTCTGATAACTCTGCATGCTTACTGGCGCTGATGGGGGTTGGAGTCCAACCGCATCTAGAATCACCACGTTGGCTGTTGTTGTTTAGTCGTTTAGTCGTGTCAGACTCTTCATGACCCCATGGACCAGAGCACGCCAGGCACTTCTGTCTTCCACTGCCTCCCACAGTTTAGTCAAACTCATGCTGGTAGCTTCGAGAACACTGTCCAACCATCTTGTCCTCTGTCGTCCCCTTCTCCTTGTGCCCTCAATCTTTCCCAGCATCAGGGTCTTTTCCAGGGAGTCTTCTCTTCTCATGAGGTGGCCAAAGTATTGGAGCCTCAGCTTCAGGAACTGTCCTTCCAGTGAGCACTCAGGGCTGATTTCCTTAAGAATGGATAGGTTTGATCTTCTTGCAGTCCATGGGACTCTCAAGAGTCTCCTCCAGCACCATAAGTCAAAAGCATCAATTCTTCGGTGATCAGCCTTCTTTATGGTCCAGCTCTCACTTCCGTACATCACTAGTGATGGCTACCCCAGCTCTGTTTCTTCCCCCTTACCTCAGTTTTCCAGCCCCCACTCCTGAGTCATTCAGCATTCTGTGACCATTTAGAAGCTGTTTTGTCATATAAGCAGCATTTAAACTAATATCATGCTATAATTAATATCCATCTAGAGTTAGAAAAGGCTTTAGTTCCAAGGCTGATGTGGCTCTTGGCAAAGTGTCCTCCGATGGGCTCCATCCAACATCGTTGAACCTTCTACAGCAGGCTTCCTCTATCTCGGCCCTCCAGATGTTTTTGGCCTACAACTCCCATGATCCCTAGCTAGCAGGACCAGTGGTCAGGGATGACAGGATTCCTGTCATCAAAACATCTGGAGGGCTGAGTTTGAGGAAGCCTGTTCTACAACTTACCTGTTGGAAGTGACGTACAAGAGCTACCATTTCAATTACCCACAATGCCACTGATATATTTCTTCGCTCTGGGACATCGTGGGAAAATAAAATGGAATTATGGGTAATTAAAATGGCAGAGCCTGTACTTAGGCAGTCTTTTAATGAAGAACACTAAGCAAGCATCATCGGCGGACCTGCTTGGCCATGGCAGCAGCCAAAAGATGGTGCGTCCTGCTGACCTCAGGCCTGGGTTTCTGTACTATTAAGTTATTTTTATATGGGTGAGTTCTGACTCATGCAGCATTCCCCATCAGTGCCTCAATGGCACAGGTGAGGATATAGTTGGTGAGTTTCCCCTCCTTCTGAAGCTATGAAAGGTACGAGAATCCTGTACCATACCAAATGAAAGAATCTCGAGTTCTATTCACATGGTGTACAGTATGTCAATGAGACTGCATAAATATTCATTTTTCTTACATGCTTTAATGATATGCTGATTATCTGGCAACATATTTCTTTTCATTTTTTGGAATAAGATATATTCCCTATTCTCTGTCTAATTTTCCTGCCCCCATGTGAGTGCCTCATGCTGATTGAGAATCCTGCCCTGCAAAGTAAGAGAGTTTGGCAGTAATTTGGAAATAAAACTTGCACCCCTTTAAGACTGGCTACTTATCAAGCAATCAATTATTGCTATTTCTGGATCTTGGAAGTACTATTTTTAATTCTATAATTCCATTAAATCTCTCCCCCCCTTCCCGACGTCTGTATTTTCAAACTCTACAACTTGCAGCATTTACCTGTTTTGTCCCCAGGTCCTGCCTCATCACAGGGAAATTGTGATTCACTTGTACTAGCAATGAATGATTTTGGCAGGACTTTCCCTCAGAAGGGTCAGACTGGGTGGGGAAAGTTGTAATGAGATGTGTGTGTGTGTTCAGTTGAATTATATAACTGCGTCAAACACTAATATTATTTTGTTTCAGCTTTTTAAAATCTTGTCTTTTCCTATGGGCTCTTCTCTATGCCATTTGTGGACATCTGCTTTTCTCTCACCACTTTTACACACACACACACACACACACACACACACACACACCCTTGTCAAAGTGAAGAGTGATTTTAAAATATAAATCAGGCTGCACCATTGGTCTTCTGGGAGTGTTTTGGGGTTTTTTTGCTTTGTGACTGAATTTTGAAATTGGAGGCAGGATTGAATCTAATGGAGTAATAGCTAATGTGGTGCTCACTAGATGTTGTTGAAGTGCGGCACCCACCATCCCTGACCAGTAGTCATGCTGGCTGGGGCTGAACAACATCTGACTACCCCTAAAGGCCTTTGAGACACATGTTAAGTTATCATAAAAGTTAAATTCAGTGCCCTTTAACAAACAGTATTCCCTGGTTTGCTTGCTTAAAGACAACAACAACCCAAGACACTATTTCACACAGGCTATTACATCACAATTTATATAGTGCTTTAAAATGTTGAAACTCTTAGTATGCGTTACAACAGGCATGTTTATCCTGGAGAAGAGATGCTTTAGCGGAATGATAGCTGTATGCTAATATTTTAAGGGGTGCCACATAGATGATGTGCATATTTCTGTTGCTTCAGAACCAGTCTGTTCAAAATGCAAGAAAGACGATTTCAACTAAACATTAGGAAGAATGATCTGATCAGGAATGGACTTTGGTAATCTTTAGTAATATGGCGCTGCATGCAAGGCAAAAATCTGGCGTCCCCAAATGGATCTTTTTAATTATGAACCATTTCCATTTTGCACCTCCTCGGCTCAGCACCCTGTGTAGGGGAACTTCCCGCACCACCCTAAATCTGATTTTCACCTGTCATGAATGCTTTAGCTGAGATTCCTGCCATTGCAGGGGATTGGATTAGATGACCCTCAGGGTCCCTTCCAACTCTACACTTTTATGCTTCTATGAAATGTGGCACTGACCTGATGGTACAAGCTGTTCAGTAGTGGTACTGACAGCCTGGGAAAGTGGTGGACTGTCCTTCATTAGAGGTTTTAAAGACGTGACTTGGATGGCCAACCTATTGGGGATGCTGTAGTTGTGGATTTCCTGCATCAGCTGGGAGCTGGGCTAGGTGAACTTTGAGGTCCTTTCCAACTCCGTTATCTTGGGATTATTGTTCTTCCTATATTGCTTGGGCTGAGGGCAGGGGGCACTTGGTGAGCTATGGGCTGATTTGAAGCAGGTGCTTCCTTTACAGCTCAGTGTCTCTTGACCATTAGCCAGTTGTGGCTGGTGCCCATTGGGACTCAGAGAGCAGAACACATGGAGACCATCCAGAAGTGGAATCAGAGCCAATGACAGGCAGAGCCAACTCATTCTGGTATTCCATCACCCGTACAACAATGAGAAAGCTGATAGGCAGGCTCAGGGCTGGATTTAGGTTTGATGAGGCCCTAAGCTACTGAAGGTAATGGGGCCCTTTATATGTCCAGCTGTCCTTTGTCAACAACAATGTCACTGTTTATTGTGTTGAATATATGCAATATGGTAATTTATGGACCTACACAACACAAACACTGTTGCTGTATGTAGGTTTTATTTTATTTGGTTTTTTATCTTATATTTTGGAAATGTACATCCAGGTTTTTCTCCTTTACATTTTTTTGGGGGCCCCCAAAAGAGTGGGGCCCTAAGCAATAGCTTGCTTAGCTTATACGTAAATCCAGCACTGGGCAGGCTACTTATAACCTGGGCTGGTTAGAAATGAAGAAGCAGGCAGTTTGAGCCTGGCTGAAGGCAGAACGAGGTAGGTGGGGCAGAGCGCCATTTGGACTAGTAGACCAGCCCCTACTGCCATTAGGTAACAGTAGCCCTCGCCTTAAAAAAAAGGTGTAGAGTTGGAGGATACAGAAATTAGTCGAAGCAAACATCATCATCATTTTTAGTATTTGCAAAGAATGTCATAGAAGCTAATCTTGTTAAGTATTTTTCTTTTTTTTTTTTAATGACTTGGCACCCATTGCAATGTCACTGAGTTGCTGCTGCTGTGCTATTTTTTATTTTTTTAAAAAAGCTGGGTTCTTAAAAAAAATTCTGAGATTGTTACGCTGCCAGCTTTCCACGTCCCAGGAGGATAATAGCCATTTTTGTTTCTCCTGCTCTTGGCAGCTGCTCCTGTTAAGCAATGATTGCCATACTAAACCCCGTAAAGTTGACGAGTTTGCAATAAAGTGCTTCTCCTAAATCACTTTGAACTAAACTATCCATGATGAGTTACTTCTTGCCCATTAGGAGCAAGGCTAGAAAGCAATTAATAATCATTTATTTTTATTTTTTTTAAAAAATCCCTCCAGATAAAAGAAGCAGAAAAGTGTTCCTTGTGGCACCTGGTGTTGTAAATAAGCTTTATAGTTATGTCTTTCCACCAAATGTCAAGGCAGCTCTGATCATGCAATGTAGCAATTTTCTGTCTTGTTCCTTCATATTATAGAGATTGGACTAGATTTGCAGCAGGTGGTGTTCTGCAGTCAGCTTCCTGGGCCATTATAAAAAAAAATTTTTTTGACCCTTCTCTTGATGAGATGATTGCTTGTAAGACAACTGGCAATTACTGTTCTTTCAAGAGACTGGGTGCATATTAACAGATTAGAAGGCCTGGAGATGTACTACTATATTATTAGCTGCACCTATACTGCAGAGTTATTGTGAATTGCAGTTTTGTAATTTCTACATACAAAGTGTTATATTCTATAAATATGGGGCACATCATTTTGTGATCCCTTTACAAAATGATAGCTTTTCGTGCACTACATACCTATTCAACTAACGATCATTCTTTTCAGCATCCAGACTTCAGCTTAGCTGA